CCTCGCTGGGACTTACATGGCTTTAGTTACTGCTGCTTTTACTGTTCAATACAATGCTACATACCATATACTTCCCGTTACCTGCTTGTTTGAGAATTTTCTGCAGTGATATTATTTACCAATTATACGCAGACAATGCGACTTTCCGAATTTATTACGTTCTGCTTTTCCAATTTGTTCGCATATTGTAGGTCATATCAAAGACCATTTGTCCCTTTTCAATCCCAGAACCCAATAACTTGCCTTGCTTTTGGAAAATGTGCGTTCTTTTACGTTGTGAAGACACTCTCTTCTCAGATAACACGGTCGGGACATTTGCGTGACAATACCCGACCACGTCCATCTGGTTTAACAGACACCTCTACATTCGAAATTCAACAATAGAAGTCTCTAGTATATTTTTCTGTGTACCACGAACAAATGCGCTCACGAAAAGTAGTGCGTTCACTTGCCTCGTTGATGGTGACTGGGCCTCCTAGCCCGATTTACTGTGATTCCCCAAACTCGACTTCACATTTACCTTGGACAGTCAGGTAAACCACTCGCCGTTTCTTCTTGGCAATGCTGTGATTCATACTGAGCCCTGAGAATTGACTTTTACGTCATTGACGGAGAGCCCTAAAGGTTCAGAATTAGGTTTATGTGTACGTGTGTGGGACGGATGGATTTGGAATCCGCCCACAAAGCTACTCTCGTGCAATTTCTTTTTATTGGTCAATTGAATTAAAATAATAAGTCAAATTTTCAGTAATTTCCTGCATAATATACAAAATATGTTAAAGTAAGACTTGTAGGATTTTTGTTCACGTCATACTTAAGCAGAGCATTTCAAGAGAAAATGGGTAACATTCATAGAGATTAGAAAAAAATATAGCTATTTTCACAAAAAATATAGTTATATACAGTCCGGTTCAGAAACTACTGGCTACCCACGTTCTGAACATTCAAGCAAAATAATAGAAGCATTTCTGAAAGTCATTGATAAAATTCAAAACTTGAACACGAATTTCTCTCCTCTTCAATTCCGTTCCCACGAGAACCAATTGAGAGAGCTCATTTATAGCGCTGAGTCTCTCTTCGACACAGCTTCTTGTATCAGAGAGCGGGAAAACGAAAAATAAGTGCAGCGTTCTGCCGCCGACGCAGTTTTTCAGCGTCTTCCGCGCCGCCGTTTCGCGAGCTCCGCCGCGGAGTGGAGGGAATGGAAAGCAAGTTCCTTCCCGCGGGCCCAAGTGCAGAGCTCATTTCGCCAGGCGATTTCTCTCCTTAGGAGCTGCGGTTGCGCATTGTGGTTGCTTCTCGCGCGTTGATGCAAGTGCTTCAGTTGCTGCGCGTTCTCTCGAGTACACTTTGCCATGCACCGTTTGGTTTAGGCTTGAAAGTCGAACCTATCAGAATTTTGCAACATGTAGATCAAATTAATTGACATCTGAAATCATATCACTAAATTAGCCAACTTGTTGAAAAAAATGAGAAGTATTCACGATAAAACAATGGTTTGATATCGAATAAGTTGAGTTGTCTCTTATTCTTGCAAAAAGATAATTTTAAATAATCGCAAGATGGCAAAATATGCTGCTCCTTTGCAACTCGTGTCAAGTTTGGTTTTCATGAGTTATCAACTTATCCACTTAAAGGGCAAAGCCATATAAAGGATAATAACTAGGAAATGAATAATACTTTAAAAACTATTGGCAATGAAACTGATAGAAATTGCTTTTAAAATTAATGGTTTAGTATGTTTTAGAACCTACTACTTTAAACATCAGGCAGGAAAAATGCACCAAATTGTAGTTGTTTTTTTAACATAAAATTTGTGATTTTACTGAAATGTTTTATTAGAAATATGATTCTCTACGCACGTTATAACACGATACATTCCCACTTTTTTGTGAAACCCGAAATTCAGTATTTTATGTCTCTTGCCGATAAATCTTTTTGCTCGAGAACATGTTTCATTTATGCGACGTCGCGACGACATGACAGAAGACTGGTATTGGATTTCTCAGACAAATCGCAAATTTTGCCAGTCGTAAAAGCAATATTTGATATCATGACATGAACTTAGAGATTTATTAAAACGAGATATTATTCGATTCATTATAGTCACACACTACTGCCATTAATTTTGATACAATTTGCTGAAATTGGAGTGAGCGAGAGAGCGAGAGTGCGAGAACGGCGGGCGGGCGGGCGCGCGCAGGGTGCGGCTCAACTGGCGCCTGCAGCTGTTCACGGCGCGGCCGGGCGAGGACCCCGTGAGCGTGCGCATGCCGGCGCTCGTCTTCTCGTCGGCCTTCGAGGCGTACACGCCCAACCGCATGGCGCTGATCGGGCGCTGCCTGCTGCGCGCGCAGCAGCGGGCGCTGGTGTCGCTGCGCTTCTCGCTCTCCAACGCGGCGGCGCGCTTCCGCGTGCGCGTGCTGGACAGCGGCGGCGGCGTCGTCGTGCAGGTGCGCACGGACGCAATTACTTCGAGTTTCAATTATTTCCCCAACCAGGTATCTCCCACCAGCGGAGCACGTGGCAGCCGGGTCTAGTTCAAAGCTTCATCTGGTAGTATAGGGCTTGAAAGTGTAAGTAAGGGGAGAGGATAGGACATGGAAGAGGAAGGAAAGATGGCAAGCGGTTCGTGGCCCATTCATTAGGTTAATGCGCCGACATTTGGAGAAACCACTGAAAATAGCGGTCAGAGCAGCCGGCCGCTAGAATTCTCCTCCAGCCTGTGGCTGAATTCGACATAGCTGTCTAACTAGTGTCAAACACCTTGTCACTGTCGGTACTCTAGCCCTAGGAGCGAGGACAACCGACCACTGGTCAGTGGCGAAGGGTTAATTCAAGTTAAAGGCGTGCAGTGTCATAATACGACCAAATTTGTGGCGTGGAGTAGTAGGTGAAGCAACGTTGCCAAAGGCTCTTCCGTTTTAATAGAATACTTTATGTTAACGATATTGGAAAAAATAAATGTTTATTATGGTTACACGGTTGATACGTTTGTTTAACACTATCATTAATGAAACTAGAATTGTAAATATTCGTGAATTGTTTTACTCCCCCACACCTGTTCAAAATAGTTTTCACCTTTGTATTTCGGGTTAATAATTAAACAAGGCAAATAATACATTACTAAAAATTATTTGCTATATCACAACCCATGAATAATATCAGCATAATATGGTTTGGTATGTATCAATTCGAAGTTTAATAAAAATATATTTTCTTGTAGTAAAACAAATACTCTAGAAGAATACGAAGACTAGTAAAATAAAATATATGTTTAACTCTCTTGTTCGGTCTAAATAATGATTACATTGTATGATTGTAATATAATGATGTAGAACTAATGATTGTAATATCCCTTTGTTTACAGTTTCCTTCCTCGCTTTCGTAACGCGAATTTTGCTTTCCCTCAATTCCGCAGTAGCGATTCGCTTTCTTCTCTTTCAGCAAAGTAGTATCCAATTTCCCTTTCATAATTTTTCACCCTTTATAGAAGTGTGCATTCTTAGGCATCCGCTTTAATCGTTCCACAAGTTTTTTCCGTGTTTTTTCTTTCAAGAGAAAACATCTTAGATGTCAATTGTTTGAATCTTCTAACACTGGTTTAACATGACCTGACTAGCGGACTGTTCCGTTTCGGATTTCTTCCTCACAGCTGATTCTGGATGTTTCCGCTGCCAGCTTTGACTCTCCGACTACGGTTGAAAATAACGTATCCAAGATCACAGATCAAAATTCTGCTGTAAAATCGTTCAGTCTCGATATTGAAACAATTTTTGAACTCTGTACAACTGTAGTCTCTCGACTTTGTGATAAAGCGGTAAGTCTAGTGGAACCCACCTTGCGCAAGTTTTACGGTAGTTCACTTTGTTTTAAATGATGCAATGAGTTGTGTCAACATTTATTCGATACTTATCAGTCATTGTTCATGTGGAAGTCGTTGATCTTCTCGAATATGTGAATCAATTTGATGCGAGATTCTAATGCCGAAGTCGACGCCGTTGCCGGACAGACACTGACCGCCAATGACGCTTTTGCGGCTACTTTGCAACTTTTCCCCCAACGTTTAAAAACTCCCACTGACGATGCAACCTTTTCGGTTTTGTTTTTATATACAGAATAATATTTCTGACGGTTGTACACTTTTTGAAAGTAAAATATCTCATCACAAAATAATGTTCTTTTGAACTTTTTTCTCATGACCACACCCTTGTGACCAAGACTTAAAAAGTTATGTTTCTGTACGTAGTAATAGAACAGCAGAAAAACGACTCTTTGGCAAGTTGGAAACCAACTCAATCAAATGTTTCAATTGTCTGCATTAAGTTGTCTACACGAACAAGTTTTGTTTAAATATTGAATTACATATATGATAATCTATTGTATAATTATTTATTTTCATTTTACTCTCATTCTGTACTTTTTAAAATAGTTTTAATTGTTCTGAAACATTCTAACTGTTTATTTCAAATACACAGTAATTTTAGAATAAATATTATTTATTTTTCTATTCCTCTTGTATTTCTTATGTTTCCTCCATGTGTATCTTCAGGATAGATCATTACTGACACTATCAGTCACTTCACTGCTGCAGAGAGGAACAACCTCGACATCTCAGTTTGCGCGAAGTTACGTTGTAAATATGCGACATGACGGCTATACGCATTTGCAACTCAGAACGTTTGGCATGTCACCTTTGCCCTATAACCTGAGTGTTAACTAGGGTTACGCTGACTCTCATTCTATCTTCCTCTATGTTATAGGTATGTCATGACAAAGACAGTAGTTCCATCTGCTTTGTTATGCATAACTTTGGTAAATAATTATCTACTTGACAATAACCACTTAAACTTTATTGTGACTTGTGCATTGCTGAGGAAAAAAATGTAATGACTTTGTTGTAAATTCAAAGACCGTTGTTTACCCAAGCATGTTGTGCTTAAACGAGGGTAATCTGGAATTAACTTTTTGCGCCGTTTAGAGAAGATGACTGGCCAAAACACTGCCTCCTCGTGAGCGTGGGACAAAACAACAAAAACTCCAGGCCGCGCGTGAATAGTGATTATTCATCGTAGATTTCTGCATTGCATTCATTCGCTTTATCCGTGTCAGGTTTTCGATTTTTTCAATTATTTTCTGGATTCTGAAAAAATAGAAATAAAATATTTCAAATTTTCCTGTTGATCTTATGTATTTGTATTCAAACTCGTGAGAATGCGTGGTATAACGAAATGTTTCTTCCTTTAAGTTTTATAAGTTTTTTTAATTTAACAACTACTACTTTTTTAAGAAAGTGAATTGCATAATTTAAAGATCTAAAATTGAATGATAAATTCCATTAAGATACAAATCTCTGTCTATAATACTAACAGGTTCGAAAAAAATAAACTTGCGATTTTCATAATTTCAGAGGTTTTAATAAAAACGTGAATGTATGTTTGTATTGATGTATTTTCTTCTATTCGAGAAAAGTTGACCTACCCTTCTTGAGATGTGAATAAGTGTATTTTGTCTTCGCTCTTCTTTTTTTTTTTTGGTTAAGAAATTTAATCCAAAATTGTGTTTGGACGGATAAAAATGAAATTACTTCTTTATTTTGCACCATCCAACGAGTATACCTCTCTGCCACTTCCTGAAATATCTATCTTTATGTATTTAGAACACATTGTAGCGTAGGTATAATATTTATTTCAGATTTGTCAACATTTACATAACTTACTGAAAGAGAGATGAAATGAAAATGTCATGACCTAGCTGTCAATCCAAAATAAAATTATGATTAAGGTAATTATTTGTGTATTGGCTAAACATTATATTTTCTTTCATTTACTCTGGCACAATGAAAGAACATTAAGATTTTATTAAAATGTTAAAAATATATTATTTTTTACCCAATTCAAATGTAGATTGTGATGGAGATTACCTCAAACTCACATTTCCGAGTCATTCCTTGATACATGTTACCAGAACGATGGATTTCAGAATTCCATTTCGTCAGTCAGATTATCGGGATATCCCATGTGTACATTGGAAGCTGCCCTATGGGCATTATCTATTTGAGGGGAAATAACAATGATTTATTATTTTAGATTCCTACTATTTTCTTCATTATTTATAAACCAATCCCAGTAAAATTTTAAAATGTAAGAAACAGAATAAACATTGAACCAGAGCCACGGCAATGTCAATAAAAATTACATATGTGCCCTACATGATCCTATCATGTCGGAAGGCATTATCTTGTCTGTTAGTACAAACGGAGTTTCATGTACGTACGACTATCACACTTCATCAGTACACTTATATATTTGAATTGACAAGAATCTTTACCGCTCACACTGAACTGAATATTTAGTATTACCATAGTTCTGTAATTTCCCGTCCGGGAGTACTTTATTGGATTGCATCGCGGTTATCTTCAGTGTAATCGTGCAAACTGCACTGACGGTTGGATGGAGCCGAAAATCATTAAAGAATGGTAATAATATGTTGAGGATTCTGTTGGTCTGAGTCTACTTTATACTACACTCTGAGATCATCATAAACCTCCCTACTACATTGGTCGCAATGGCGCAATAATTATTTTTATTGTATTACTAGTGTTACTAACTTGCCATGATACCTCCAGTAGGTATTTTCGTATTGAAAACTTCACTTTGTCGTATACGAAATAGAAAGAAAGTTTCGTAATGCTACAAAAAATTAGTCGCAATTTTGACGAAATTTCTCATTTTGGAGACCCTTAATACTGAAAGTGTTCTTTAATTTACTTGTATTTCTGTAAACCATACTAGCACTTAAACCATAAACAGGATATTTTTACGCCGATCAATTAGATTCACGTTGCGATCTCATGAATTTTAAATGGATATTTCAATTTTGAAGGATACTTTATACCCCCAATACCTCCATTGTACTTTACATGAAGCCATGTAAGTTTGTCAGTTTCCTCTCATTTTCTAGAATTATTTTTTCAGTGATTAATGAAAAATGTTCACCCTAGATGTTTTCGATTTCCCTTTTAACCTTTTGTTAGGGTGTCGGTACAAAATCCAGTTTTGTATTTGTGAAGAGCTTGAAAGTCATTATTAGACACGTAATGAGTTTGTAGTTACTCGATCAGGTCTCTTCTTGGTCTTTCATTATAAGTGTCATCTGCAATTCACCATTCAGTATTCATCTACGTTTGTGATGATTATATCTGTTTGAACCAAACCATCTATCTATTGAATCTCTCTTCTTGGTCTTCGGTCTCTTTGGACTGCTTTATATCTTCTCGGATTCCTTCTAAATATTCTTGTTGGTTGGTAAAGATATATCTTTTGGCTGATGGAAAAACACTTTTTAATCGGTAAATAATAGCAAGCGATAACGCATCTGCGGACCACTATCTTTCATTTACAGTAAAAATCCCGAAATTTAGTTAGGTAGAAAGTTCATTTTTCTTTCTAAAGAAAAACTATTAGAAAATAAAAACAGATTATTATTGTTGTTACTGTAATCATTAATATTACCTACATTGTTGTTCATGGGATTCGGTCCAGAAATCAATTATTTTAGTTTTCCGATATTTCGGAGTTCTATTTCTCCATTTTCAGAGCTAAATTCAACACAACACGATTAGAATTATGTATAACAGTAACTATGACGCATTCAGTGGATACACATACATACAAACAATAAAATAAGATTAAAGCAACGTAAAAGGAACATACCTTACTAGATTGAGAAGAATTATATAAACATTATAATACCTATGTCGCATGCGCTGGCATGATAATACATTCACCACAGACCTCATGATCCCAACTGAAAAGATATACTGTGGTCGGGTGAGCTGCGACCTGGTTTCGTGCAGTGGGACCTCAGGTTGTTGAAAGAGGTGAGACAGATCCTGCATTCTGGGTTGCAGGCCGCCCTCATATAAGGCACCACCCTTGAGACGCAAGCCCTCTGTCTCTCTCTCTGTTTAGCCCCTCTCACATCCCCTCGCCCACTCAGCTCTCTCCCTGCTCGTCACCCTGCCTCGACTCGCGTGTGCGGCTACGGCTCTCAAGGGTGGAACCTGTCCAGTCGGTATGTCAGCACAGCAGTTTAAGCCAGCTATGCGCATTATTTGTGGCCGTACCACGTGCGCTCGCCTCTCCTCCCACGTCTCGCGTTCAGTAGGACGAACGCGACGGCAGTGCCAATACTACAAGCACTGCACCCCCTCAAGCAAACTACTTCCGGTACAACACATTATTAAATTTCGCTTTGCTTCCAATATAATTTGAGGTTGCATTGATGGTCGTGAAGTATAGTATATTATTAACATGATGCGATTGTCGTCGGGCGCCATTATAACGCTGTGGCGGCTGTGTGTGTGCGGGCAGGGGGACGGCAAGGGCAGCCTGGTGCTGCCGGCGGTGGTGCTGGTGCCGCAGTGCATCGTGGCCGCGAGCGCCGAGGGCGAGGCCGCGGGCGGGGGCGCGGGCGTGGGCGCGGGCGACGCGGAGGCGGGGACGCTGTGGGAGACGTTCGCCGTGGAGGCGCACGTGCTGGGCGACAGCTGGCCGCTGACGGACGCCGAGTGGCGGCGCGTGGAGGACGTGCTGGCACTGCCCAGCGGCGGACGCCGCGCGCGGCCCCGCCCGCTCGCCTGGCTCGCCGGAATCTCCAGGTGAGCGCCTCCTGCCAAAGCACTGGCTGAAACGGAGGTGTTCACTTCCGACCGGGACGGCCGAGGGGGCTAGAGCGTGTGCCGACCTAGCGCCTCGGTCTGAGTTCTTGGACAGGGTCCCTTGTCTTTCATGTATGTGTGTTGTCGCAAAAGGCCTTGTGAGTCTGCTGGACACAGACCGAAGAGCGTGTCTAGGGTAAAGGTGTCCCCGAGAGGTACTTGTCGAAATCGACATCCCCTGGAGCTGGAAAAAGGTTATATAGCGACCACTGTAAGGAACATTGGTGATAACGTAACGGTACAAACACACCCAACCATCCATGCCCCGGACGGGATTCGAACGCGCGACCCGTCAGGTACGAGGCAGCTAAGACTCTTCAGTCTTAGCAACCTGGGCTGTCCAGGGCAGCAAAGTAGTTTTTGTTTTGCCAAGATCTACGAAACACGTGATTAGAGAAACAAATTGAATGTTAAAAGTGACTTGAAGTGGAAACTGTCAAATTTTAGTGCTGATATTGATTCTCTCGTGGGAGATAAACAATGTGGAATATCCCGCTGATTTTATGTTCATTTTGAATATTGACCGCTCGTTTTTGAGTTCTCTTATATTGTAACACATAAGTGAAAGAAATGACAATGAATGGTTTGGTTTTATATACGATATATTTTAATCCTTTTACAGTACGTACTTTTAATTACTCCATTTTGGACTTTGCCGTAGACCTCGTTGGACCTCCCCAAGAGTATGTACTTGTAAGTTTCAATTAATTCTAACTAAAAAATAATGTACGTAACATGTACGCAAGTGCCTGCCGTTCCAAATGATTTGATCTCGATTAAATAGGTTTGTTGGATGCAGAATTAGCTTTCTGAAGAAATAGTGCATATTTTACAATACGTCCAAGAGAGGAAATTTTCATTTGCTTTTTTAAATTTATTTCAACGTAACAGAAATACGAGCGTCAAAAAAAGCGTTATCATTTGCGCGCTTCTCTGGGTGGTGCTATGAGCACTGTCTGGAACGCACTTAGTATCCTCAAGCGCCATCATTCTCCAATTGATAGCGTGACAAGCGACACTGAATACATTGTTTCCAACTGCATTGTGGCATTATATTCAAGGTTACAGTAACTCTTGTATAATTCAAGCAATGTTAATCAAAGAAAGCGTGTCCAACGGATATATTGATATAGTTTACAATCGTTCAATTCTCTTGTTTTTCAAAACTTAATTTGATAATAAATCATCATTAAAATGTATTTTAATTAACCTTAAGTCGACTCTCATATGTAACAAAATAAGTAGTATTTCATCGAAAAGCAATTTCGCCATGTTTAACATGAAAACCGAAAAAGTGGACCAAGAAATTGTGTAGGTATTCAATAATGTAACGGTATACAATGTTTTGATCTCTTTGCTTAGATGAAAATCCATTTATGTACCGCCATGTTTAATCATTCTTTCATTTTCGTATATCATTGTGTCCGGGAAGACCTTACAATCCTCTATAGACGATGACACAAGGAAATGGAACGTCGAAAAGGTAGTCAATGGATAAATATGAATGGGTGAAGGTTTTGAATGAAGCTGTGACTTTTTACCGGTCAATGCTGACACGCAATCATTATAGATTTCCTTTAAATTACCGTGATCTCAAAAACATGTCATGAGATGACGGAAACTCTGTATGATTGTACCTCCACACCAAAACTCAGCTGCTCTTACAAAAACAACGCAAAAATAGTTGTGAATGCTTGAGCGAAAGAAGCAAAAGGCAGCAATTCCGTTACGGCGTTTTAGGTGCTAATGGATACGAGGCCAGGTAACGGGAGATGTTTGAAGCTTTCTTGTGAGAATAAAGCCTATGGATGTGTAAGTTGTGATCGAGTTATCCTGAACTTTTGCCATGTCATGTTGACCCCCTCCTCTCACCCGCTGGAGCACCGTTCGCCTACGAAGTGCCTCCAAATGCGCACTAACTGCACGGTCGCTGCTCTCGATCGAGCTTTCTGCTTTGGAATGAGCAAGGTTGTTAGCAGTCCTCGACATCGTGACTTGAGAGGAGGGCTGTTGTGTTTTGAATGTGTCAGATTTTCTTTTTCACTTTATTTTAGATGAAATATTCGCGGAGCTAGATGCCTTTCCAAGTCACGTAACTCTCACAGATCACGAAGCTTTCAGGGACTCCATTCGCGGAAGCTTTTGCTTAAAGAACAATTTATGCATCCTTTTAAGAGTAATTGAACAGAACGGCAGAACTACAAATGAATTTGGCGTGAATTGAATCAGCGATCATAAACGTTTTCTATGGATTTATTCAATAATTTCTGAATTGATTATTATGTTTTAATGATATTTACAGCAGCCAATTTGAGCGTGCATTTATTTTAGTTTTATAGCACGTTTAGTGATTTTCGAAACTTTTGTGTATGAAGGAAGGCAATGTTTTAGTGAAATGTTTCAATCAATCAAACCATCTGAAAGATATCAAAACAGAAATTGCCTTTTTATGAAGCTATTTACTTACAGCAAGCCAAAATTGAATTTTTAAATTATAATGCACAAGATTTAACATTTTTATTTTCCCATGTATGTACCTACATACTGAGTAATATACGTAGTATAGAAGAGGTTATGTAATGCTGCGGAAATTTCATTTCGAAATTTCAACGGAAATACACTTTTTGGAGTCGTCGGATACCGAAAAAGTGGTTCTTCTCAAAACGTTCGTCTCTGAGCACGAGTAGCGTAGGATGTTTTTTAAATTGAAGCCCTTTTCATTAGGCTTTAGTCGAAACTTTAAGAATTTGAAAAACATTCTTCAAAATTTGTATTTACTTTACATGAAGCCCCCGCCCCCCGAACATTTCCAAAATTTTCTAAAAACGGCTCCAAATTGTTTCCTTAAATTTCAAGTAACATACACTTATACAAATAGCATAGATCCATTTTCACGGTTAACTCTGAATTTTCGAAAATTTCAAACAAATGATTTTTTTCAGTGTCTTCCTACAACTACAATATTAAAAATGGAGATTTTTCCTTCAAATGAAATTTGTTGTCCATAATTAGTTATTTTATTAAGATCATGTACATTTTGTGAACATTTTAGTAGTTTTCGCGCAATATTCCGTGTAGTATTTGCAGTTTTAAAAAATTACAAAAACAAGCTTTTCTTAAATGGCTCCAAATTTTCCTTTAAACGTTTGGCAAGTATAGTGCTAAATGTACCCTATAAGATGACAAAAAAGCCATATTGGTCTATTCTTTTGTTGTTTCAAAACTTACAAAAATGATTTTTTTGCACTCGTCTCTAACATTGTTAATATTTACATTAGCGACAATTTCTTTACATTAAGGTAGTTATGTGTAAATATTCTTAAAGTAATGTGAGATAAAGTTTCCCGAAAACTCAACAGTTTTCCGTGAAAATGAGTTAAAAATTCCGCATTTTCAGAAATGCTCAAGTACTATTTTCTCTTAAACAGCTCCAATTCTTTTTCTTCAGAGTTTTCACTAAGGTGTCAGAATTCATTTTGTTGTATTCATTTGTTTTTTTCAAAAATTACATAAATAATTATTTTGAAAGATCTCTCACATCTTTAATAAGAACATTTCCAGCAACATGTAACGACTATTGCATTTGTGACTGGAAGTGTTTGAAATAACGACATATGAAGTTTTTCGAAAACTCAATACTTTTTTGTGAAAAAAGGTTCAAATTTCGAATTTACAGTTGCATTTAAATGCCATTTTCTTAAAAACTGCTCCAAATGTTTCAATTTTTGCTGTTTATTTATTCATACTCGTCGCTTAATAACAAATCATATGTAAGTTTTCCTAATATTGTACTGTTTTTTAGGTGCGGTAACCAACAATTATTAGTAAAAATATTAAAAAAGAAACGTCCTATGAACAGATTACTTTATTTAATTGCCAATAATTTGAGTAAAAACCACGACAAAACGTATAATAATATATTTGGAGACATTAAAATGTAGAATATATAGTACAAATAATGTATTTTACACAAACAATTAACAATATTTAACTTTTTTCTGTATATTGAGAAGCATCATCTCGCTTTAAATGCCAGAAGTAATTCCCTAACGTAGCTACATTGAAACAGTTCTTCTAGCTATTTTACATGCTGGTTGATCTGCTCCCTTTATTCGACACTCACAGCTCCAAGATTTGAAGGGAAGAAAGAGAAATGGGAATTAACAACATAACTTGAATGACATCCGGTAACCCATCTTTTTATATGCATTTAACAAATTATTCACTGAAAATTCCACGTTTTCGGTTCTGTGATTACCTAAAAAACATTTGTCATGGCGTTAAACGGTGTTCATGGGCATATTTCTTTGTCATTTAGTTTTTGATCGATATTTTGTTTTGTTTTTCATATTAAAAGGCGTATTTGTGAAGCGATAAAAATATCTTCTTTTAACTTTTCGTCGTTTAGTTTTTTTAAAGAGACTTAAAATACGAAACCTTCAGCAGTTTTATTCATTGTCAGTACAATATTCTTTTAATGAAGAATATTGCTGAGTTTTGTATAGGGGAGCTGAATAGTCAGTTTTTTAATTTGAGGTAAAGGAGAAGGCATGCCTTCGGTATGAGGTATTGTTTTCATTGCAGAATTCAAAGTAGGATACTCAATATTATGGATGAATTTATTCGAAAATCGTCTTACATCAGTCATGCAAAAGTATCAATCGTTGTAGTGATTAGTAGGTTTGCGTCACAGTGTCTTTGTTGCAAATGGCATATACTATTATGAACTAATATGGGCGAAATGTATTGGTGTGTACTATAAACAAGACGTGGTTAAACCAGAGGTATCTACTATCAACGTATTGTAACTAACAGAAAGCAATAAAGTCAGTTTTTCGGGTACCAAAATCGTGTCACGCAGTGTAATTGACGTTGCTTTTCATGTTTCTCTGCTCCCAACCTTAACCATCTTGGGAATAGCTATAATTGACCTTAATCCTGACGTGTGCCAAGTTACAGCTGAAGAGTACTATAAACACGGATTTTACAACTGATATTTGAGATAATATCTTTAGGGTCATTCCAATACTTTTCCATTATAGAGAGGTAAAGTAAAAATGTGATTTACATTTCCAGAAATATGTTTAAATCTGTGTTCACAGTGAATAGTGAATATTATTTCTGGCCTTGTAAACCTCATCATATTTTAAGTCTCAGAATGAACGACATTAAACAAAATGTTGGGGTGGGTTTCGTTTTTCTACATAGTGTTCATCCTTTTGTACGATGTAATTGCAAGGGTTTAGCTAGCCTTTGTTTTTTAAAACCTTAAGTATTTTGTTTAGAAAGGAGTTTGAGCTTTGTACTCAATACTTTTTTGAATTTTGCTTCAAATTAAAGGTTGTGGGTTAGAGATGCTATTAGCATCTTCATAAGAGGAGGGTTTGCTAAGCCTCTCTTTGTTAAATTTCTTCTTTCGTCGACGAGAGGAACAAGACCGTATACAACAGTGATTTTATGAAAAAAAAACGCCTAACTTGTTCTTCGTTGTATATTTCCAATGAATTATCAGCATCTCAAATATACGTCTTCGTTAAGTGGACGATATTTTGAGTATAAAACTCAAAATACTCAAAGAAATCTTCGTCCTAGTCTGCCATGTTGCGTAAACGTGTGCTCGTAGACTTGACGTAACCAAAGCTGGTTAGCCCTCTGGCGAATGAGGAATGCTTAAGGCTGCAGGTAACCTTCGTTCCACGAATGAGTACATTCATTACTCATTCGTCATTCATTTGAAAATAAGGTCTCTTTATGACTCGGAATTTCTTACTTAAGGAAATCTCATTACAAGAAATGACTACGGATTCGGCCCTAAGAGACGGAAATGTTTGGGTATGCCTCGTACCCATTAGTCTGCTTTTCTTTCCTGCAATAGGCGTTCGACGCGAGAACCTAGTTGTCCGCACTGCTCTTTGCATCCCTAGCCAAGCAAGTTCATTCCAGTACGTTCAACCCACAGGTTTCCTTTATGAAGTTATTGGTGCGATGACTTAAAATTTATTTATTAACCATTCTTCTAGACTCTCGTGGATTAGGCTGGCCAATTGACGTTGACATTCTTTTATTATGTTATATTAATTTTAAATGTTATATTAAGTTACGCAATATTACACTTTGTACTAGTGTATAATTACGCATACATCTATATTTCTGATTTCCAAGGCGTCCGGAAATTGAACGCAGGTTGAGCAGCGTCCGACCATGTGAGAGGAGACTTTGCTTTCGTTAACTTTAATGAACTCAGGGAAAATCTCAAAACGGTGAAGTAATTGCGAACATGAAAATGTTCGATTGTGTTTCTCTCCTATTCTTATTCTGCGCTTACCGAGTGAATTCCCACACTGAATTATTAGATATTGCATAGAATATACAAATGTTCTTGAACAGTGAGAATGCTACCTTTTGTGTTCACTAGCATCTTTGCTGCAACAGGGTATTAACATGGAAGGTGTATAATAATAACATAATTTTAATTTTAATCCAATTAAATTTTAGAATATTTTGTTTGGGAAATCGCTCTTAGTTTTTTACTCTCAGAAATATAAGCTTAAGATTAAATGGCGTTTTTGCATTCACATTGCTTTTAAAAAATTGTTCAAAAGAAATATAACAATCCAATATTGTCCATTCGCAGTTTTCATTTTATTATGCATTTACTGGGATAACAATTTATTTTAAACATAATTATATTTTCAATATATTATTAATAAATGTAAATAATTTATAGTAAAAATAATTTATTTTATACAATTTCTCAGCAAGTCATACTCCTCGAGAAACGAATTCGAAATGAGTTGGTCATAGGTACTGCAAAGCTTGAAAGAACATATTATCATGGGTTACTCATGATGTTTCCCTTGATTTTTCATTAGTATTTCATTTCATTATTATTTGAATAATATATCTTCGACGTACAAAAATCGAAGGAATTGTAAGGAAAAATATTTATTTAATAAAGAATTAAATTTGTAAGATCTCAGGTTGCTTCAATACATTTGCGATTAAAACGTTCAAAAGATTTATTTTGAATTATTTTAAATACTTAATTTTATTATCATCAAACATTTTTCTTTTCCAATATATTGTTGTTGATAATAAATTTCCGTAAATAAATTTTCTTTAACACATTCAAATAGTGAAATTCTCATTTCGGTGGATATTTTATTTTGGACATATCATTTGGACAACAATACCCAGCGGTGCCAATGCTTTAATACATATTAATATCAAAATGTAGAAAAGTAATGTTTTAAAAAGTATTTAATTTTTATTTCCTATTATTACATTACGTATCAGTAGCAGCGGGAAAACAAAAAAAAATATTTTTCAAGGGTACTACATAATGTATTTGCATGTCATGCAAGAGAAAACAAGAATTGCTTTGTGTTTTCGGCAGCCGAACGCGTCTGCGGAGCTTGAGCGGCGGGTTGGGCACGAACCCCATCGAGACCTCGTCCCAAGCCACGCGGACCCCTCAGACACCGCAAACCCCGTTCACCCCACACACGTCTCAGACGCCCAACACACCTCAGACGCCACATACGCCTCAGACCCCACACACCTCCCACACCGCGCACTCGCCGTTCACCCCGTGCACGCCCTGCTCGCGCGATTCGGACACGACGCTGGGCGCGCCCGGCGGGGAGTGCGGCGAGACGGTCGCAGAGAGCAGCACCTTCGGCTTGGGCTCGCGCGCCATCTCTCGGCTGGCCTCGCGAAGCAGCTTGTCGCGCGACGCGCTGGGGCCGCCGCCGCCCGCACCCTGGTGGCGGCTGCAGCTGGCGGCGGACCCCGCGGACCGCGTCGAGGCCGTGCTCGACCACAGCGCCTTCGAGAGGGTGAGCTTGCGAATCCGCGCTCCTTTCAGACGATACTTTATTATCAGCGCACGTTTTCTTGAGCTTGAATTACGAATAGCAACAAGCGTTGCTGACAACCAGAAATGTTCGCTCGCGTTTAATGAAAACTATTTTGCATCGATAAATGAGCTACACAGCTGATACCACAGTCCTGCTGATAAAATAACCGAATCCGCTACTCCTCTCGCATCTAGCGAAATGAGGGCTCTAGAAAACGTGCGTGGATAATACTATTTTTCTTTATTTATTTTTAATCTGTTGTTGAAGGCAAAAAGAGTTATGGGTTAAGGGAGTCTCATTTTCTCTTGATTACCTACTTAAATTACAATGAAATAAAACGCCTCCAAAACACTTACCGAAGGTTATTGGAGTGTTCTAGTGTAAAGTACTTCATCTATATATTTCTTTTCTATAATTTAATTTCTGTGAATTTGTCAGCATTGTAACGTTTCTGCAATGTTCAAACGACGAATTTTGTTGTGGCAATTTTGTCGTTAAAATTATCTTATTTTTTCATTTGACATTCATAATAATTACTCACCTTTTCATTCCATTTTTTATAGTTTCTTTTCCATTGCTTCCATTGTAATTTTGATGTCACCAACTGACGGAAATCTGTTTTAATGTTATCAGCGGAGAACTCGCACTGCGTGTAATTAAAAACTTTTTTGCCGGAATGCATCACGAATGAGAGGGCCGCTGTATAAGCTTCAGTTTGACCTCGCGAGCACCAACCCACACTGATTTTATCACAAATGCCAGAGCAGATATAACTTAACATTGTTCCTGTATTTCTATTGTAGTTTAGCCTTAAAGATAAAAGTTAAAAGAGTGAAAATGTTGTTGTGAAGTTTGTAGTGGTATTGTTGTGAATTTATTCACCCAAATTAGTACTCTCTGTTTATTTCTTTATTGGTAGATGCTCATTTATTTTGTTTCTAAAGCTCTACCCCTTGAGTCTTAAGATTTTTACAGGTTTATTTCCGCTTTGTTGCTTGATTCGGAGAGAAGTTCGGTATTCAGAGCAGTAATATTCGACGTTTTTATTTATCACTAGTCTAACATGTCTGCATATGTTCTTCCGGCGTATTTGGAGTTCGCAGCAACATATCGAATCTCGCACTGAGCATTTTCGTCGTGTGGCATCAAAAGCGAGAAGGATACGTAAAAGCCGTGATTCCGCAGTCACCGCGAACTCGCCCACCGCCGTCAAGGTTTTGCTCTCCAACGTCTCAGAGCTTCAATCGCACATTGACCTTTGAGCTTAAGGACTCGGAAGCAACATTTGAAAAATCCTGTCATTTTTAAGAAAAGTTTTCCCTAAGAGTATCAAATATGCTCGAGAGGGGTGGTGAAAAATTAACGTTCTCAAAATATATTGCATTAAATGAAACTGAACATTTTCTTACTCTACAAAGAGAAAAGTTTATTAAAATATTGACGTTAATATAAAATATTTCAATTATGTAATCTTCTTATTTCTCTCTCGTTTTGGGGATGACTTTAATGTTTAAATTAATCAAAATGTATATTACACCAAAACCTAAATGAAGTTGGTTTTATGCACGTGAGGGGTGTGCATAGGAATGAAACGTTCATATGAGAGAGGGTGATGGAAAGGCGGGGCTGTTACTAGTTGCCTAAAACAAGAAGGGAAAAAAAGAAACAAGTTTGAAGAATAACCGATTGTTCGGAGTGGCGTTGCGCGTCGCGTGCGGCAGGCGAGCCACGTGCGCGACGAGCAGGAGCGGCGGCAGCCGGGGCGCGGCGTCGCGGCGCGCGAGGTGCGCTCGGCCTTCCTGCGCCGCCTGGACGACTGGGACGACCCCTACGCCCGCGCGCGCGCGCCGTCGCCTTCGGCCTCGCCCTCGCTGGGCGCGGCCGCGCGCCGGGCTCCGTCGCTGCACCCGCCCAGGGACAGCGCGCTGGGCCGCCCCGCGCGCGCGCGCGCCCTCCACCAGAAGCTCTCGCAGGCAAGCCCCGCCACGCCACGCCACGCCACGTCCCGCCATGGCCAACGCCACGCACGCCACGCCACGCCCACGCCACGCCACCGGCCACGCCACGCCACGCCACGCCACGCCACGCACGCCACGCCACGCCACGCCCACGCACGTCCGCACGCCACGCCACGCCCACGCCACGCCCCGCCACGGCCACGCCCCCACACCACGCCCCCGCCACACACGCCACGCCACGTCCGCCACGATTGCCAAACGCCACGCCACGCCACGCCACGCCCAGCGCCTCTGTCTTGATGAGAACATTCCAGAACCAGGCTGCTCTGATCGGGCGCGAACAAAGCGAGCGAAACAACAGGAGCGAATCGCTGAGACGGCTCAGGGTTACCTTTACCAATGCAGCGGCTCGGATCGGGAAGCCCTAAGGTGGCGGATTTTTGACTCTAGCTGGAAAGCTAGTCGAATTTAGCCACTGGACGAGAATATTCTAGATCCCGGCTGCTCTGATCGATGGTTTCCTTTGTTTCTCCGGCTATTATCAGGAGAAAACCGAAACCGTTTCGCAAAAGCGGGCCACAGACCACCCGCGAGCTTTTTGTTCCTTATCCGTCCCCTACTTTCTCCTTACACACATTCATTATCCTACTACACATGTCAGAAGCTCAAATCTTGCCCCGCCTGGGGCTGTGTTCCGCAGGAGGAGATACCTGGGGAAAGGATAGTCCGAGAAGTCAACATGTACGATGACGCCTGATCTCACTTCCAACGGGGGAGGAACACTTCCACCTTCCGGGATATCACACTCATTGAACTAATATGCAAAGTAGTTTGCGCGTTCGGAAAGACAAAACAATCACTCGGTCGTTTCTTGAGTGGGGGAAAATGATAAGAGTAATAAAGATCGTTGCTCGGTGCTTGGCGTGGCAGGGGGGTAGAGCGAGACCGAAGGGCGAATCCTCTCACCACGTTTTTTCTGAGTCTGTCGCTTACAGTAAAGTTAAAATGACGTAAGGCCATTTTGCCGGACCATGTTAGCTGGCTGTATGAATTTTCGAAAAGCCTTTTTGTGAACTTATCGTAAGTGTACTTGACCGTTTGGGTACGATTTAAAATGTCAAGGTACATCTATTTTGATAATGCATCAAAAGAACTGTTGTTTTTTTTCAATCGCAAGCACAAAACGCTTACTTAGTGTATAGAAGACAAAATGTCCAGTAGGGTTACTGTCATAGTGATTGTACTGCGCCGGGCAGTTGGGGAAAACCGCCACGTGCAGTGCTATCCGACAAGCACCGGGAAAGGATCTGTACTAGCATATCGCTGGAGTACAAGCATAGTGACATAAATATGTGAACTTTTGGAGGAGAACGAATTTATCCTGAGCATGGCTTAGAAATTCATGTTATGTTAAAACCAATTTTATTTAATATATATGCACACTGATGTTATAAGAAACAAGCCTGTCTTAAAAAGATTTCATGACTTTGGGAAAACATATTCCCAATCCTCGTTCATTTGATTCCCGTTGCCCCTCAATCAACGACAGTTATCGTTTGGCGGATGAGATACTTTTGTCTAGTTTTACGTGACCTTTAAGGAACTATGGCCCATGCACATTATATATGTACATTGTTGCATTGCACAGGCTTCGATGAGCATGCGGCCGGTCGAGAAGACGAAATGGGCGGAGGGCGACCGAAAGGGCAGCGGGGCGGGGCGCAGGAGATCTGCGAGTGCTCGCAAGGTCGATTCGCCTCTCGACGGGGAGAAAAGGAAAGAAAGCCCGCACAAAGGCGATCTGCGCGTGATCGAACCTGACACCTTTATGACCATCTTCAAACGACCCGATCTTGCGAAAAAAGGATCCAATATATCGGTTACGTCGGTTCCCATTCGTCAGCCCAAGAGAAGAAGAAAAAAATCATTGCGCCCTAAACGAACTAGGGTATGAACTACCTGCGCCCATCTGAGTCCTTTGATTGTAACTATAATTATAAGTATCAGATTAGATATGTAAAGTTCACAGCCTTGATCCTTGAATATCACAAACAAATAAAATTGTGTTATTCTTTAAATGATATCTGTGATTTTCTTTCCTATATTGTGCGTAAATTATCATTGAATTATCTTGCGTGAATTAATGCCTATATTTTATTGTTCTATTTTAACAGTTTTATTCTTGGAAACCTCCAGATGGACTCTTCTAAGCTCTGAAAATGGAAATAATTTTGCAAATGATAACTTACGTCACCTTGGTCATAATTAGTGTTGTTAAAGTATACATGGTATCAATCATGATAGATGGATATATACAATAGCTGGTAATATTTTTAAGACGCATTTCTTTGTAAAACAAAAAATTATTGCTTTTGCTGCAAAACTGTGCTTAGGTTTACCAGACATCCGTGGGCTTCAGTAACTCCCAGTCGCCTCGGGATCATTGGCTGAACCTAGAATTTCAAGCCTTCATGCGCTTATTAATGAAGCACATCGTAAACAGATAAACCACTCCTAGCGAGTTCTCTCCCTAAATGGAAACCTCACTTCATATTATGGTTTATAATTTACAATAATAGATAATCATCATTGATTTTGCATATTTATTTATTAACACAGTTTAAAGAGCAAATTTATTTTATAACATTTTTGCTCAGAATAAAACAGCATAATTATTATAATATTAACAAATTCTTTCACTCGTTCATGTTTGGTTTTAAAAATCACACTCGTGCATTTGTAAATTATGTTTCAATACTTCACAAACGTGTCTGAAAATAGATAGTATTTTAAATGTAATTTTCCTTAAAGTTGTTTAAAATATTTCCAGAATGATCTTACTTCCGTGACGTCGATCCATATTGTGTCGCATTTTTATTAATATCCTGAAATATAGAAACTAACGTCAACTGAATAGAGTCTATGTTAGATTTAGAAAGTTTCAATGAAATGAAAAATGAATTGCATCACACGATATGGTAAAACGATAAAGTAGAATGTCATTTTAGCGTATTATAATGACTTTTGAAACGTAATTTTGAGAATAAGAGATCTATCAAGTTTTCAATAATTATATTCATTTGACCAATATAATAGATAAAATTCTTATATTATTCATATTTTAACGAACTCTCTAATGCACTGTATTTCTTACGTTATTTACTGCCATACTATTTAATTTAATCTACCTGGTATTTATTTTTCTCGCTTCACTTAATTTGCATTACGTTTTGATAGTCATGACAGTTTTTTCTTGGGTTTTAAATATTTTTCAAAATACTAACCATTTTTTGTTTTATTTTTCATTTGATATTTCTATTTAATTTTGCTATTTCATTTTTCATTTATATTTCACGCCTCAATGCAACTACACTTTCTTCTGAATTGTTTTACTACCGATCTTTGAATTTTTTTTAAATCTATCAACCCTTATAGCATTTAACAATAGTATTGGCACAAACTGTTTTCATTTTGTTTCTTTTACAGTTACTCTCATACCCCAACTTTCTTCGGTATATCAAATATAACAACACATGTCTTTGCATTGTTTTGTAATACTTTCAATCGACTTTCCATTGTACTTTTAATTAGGAATATGCATTGAAAGGGAACAAAAACATCCTGTATATATGCTTAATCACGAGTGAAACTCTATTGAATCGGCGAACAACACTGCTGTTCATAACAAAATCAATCGCAAACGAGTAAAATTACTATTATTGTCCATACATCAGTGTTCGTTTCTTCCACGGGAGGGAAAACATTTCTCTCTAAGACACGCACTCGCTGTTCGACATCGTCGAAGCCCTGGGAACGTCTTCACGCGCACAAGGCCCTCGCGAGGCACCAGCCACACGGGGCCGGGAGCTCACGGGGCTCGGAGCTGCAGAGCAGCGCGGACTAGGCGGCGACCGTGGCCTTGCGCTTCACTTGACCTTGCGCCGGATCGGGTGCAGCAGGTTGAGCAGCGCGATCACGGGCGCCTCGAACGTCAGCGAAATGATCATCGACAGCAGGTACGACGAGACGATGTAGCCGAAGATCGTGACAGACTGCAAACACAGCGTGAAGTGTGAAAAATATGCACACGGAACACAAACTTATTTTTATGTTTATATTTATATATTTGAATTATCTAAAAAATATATATTAATTTGGTTGGTATAAATGCGAAACGAATATAATACTCAATATGCTTTCAAATTCTTGCATTTATGGGTGTGAATAAGTGTCATGAATCAATTGCTCATGTGAACGTTAAGCGTACTCTTTTTCCGCGAAGGTAAACAAGAAGGTTTAGAGCTAAAGATAAATACGTTGTAATGGCAGATACTCGTATGTTAAATTGCTAACTTTAAAGAGAGTAAATGTAGTTATTTTTATAAAGGCTTAATTGTAGTCTCCTGTAGTATAATCATTTGCAAATTCAAAATAATTTTCAGTGATAGTTTGAAAATTCAAAAACATTCCAACGGCAACACAATCCGTTAGCCAAAACATGTCTCGTACGTTTCTAAGCGTTAATGCAATAAACGTTTTTTTTATATGATAAGGGTGCAATACTGTAGTTGAAACAATAGTATTACTTCACTCGAAAGTACGAGCACTTTAACACCGGAAAGAAGAGTGTGATGTCGAGTACAGAATGGAGTATGCCTTGAAACAGTCTAAATGACTATATATCATTGCTGAATTTCATAATGTTGGTAGCTTATTGAATTTGAATTGGAGCACTGAATACGTTAATAATATTTCTTCTCTAGAGGTCATTTTGAAGAGTTGTTAGAAAAACGCATTCAATAGTACTGAGAACGTTAGTGGATTTCATTGCCATGAACGTATCAAAAACATGACAATGTGCGTGGTGTGCAGTGACGGGTCTCACCATGGTGCCTCGCGACATGTGGACAGGCGCATCCATGAACATGAGGACAGAGAGCATGATGACGGGGTGCGTGAGGTAGGCGCAGTACGTGATGCGGCTCAGCGGGTACAGCACTGGGTGCGACAGCAGCTTATTCACGGGTCCTGCAAACACAGTTACTTCAACATTAAATATACTCTTATACGAGAGAGTGAATAAAATAATATGATCATGCTTTTTGTTATATTTTCCAGTTAATTGAGATAGCAAGAAAAATGCAGTCGTTGAAAAGTTGGGGCAAGAAAAATGATAAGATATATTTTAGACTCCTTAAAAAAAGTCTTGAAAAAGTGAAAATTAGGTAGTGTATTTTCATATTGTATGTGCAAATGGACTGGCGGCGAATGATACGGTGATACACATACGCAACAGTGTACTTAAATTCCTGTAACTGCAGTCACAGGCGTGTAACAGTAATTCTGAATCTATCTCGAACAAGCATGTTGATATGAAGGGTTTTTAAAGGTTAAACTAGATAGTTTAAAGTGTGTTGAAGTGCACTTTTATTCCTTAATTCTCAGGTTCGCTTATCGTATTAGATTTTTATATATATTGCGTTTTGAAAATGCTTAAGCAAATAGTTCAATATCTCAGCACACTAAGCTGTTACGTTTGAACCACATGCATTGTCGTAACGTGTATTGTACACGCAACAGAACACAATACATCAGAAGGAATATCGAATCCCGACATTGTGCGCGCGTGTGCGTGTGCGCGCGTGTGCGTGTGCGCGCGTGTGCGTGTGCGCGCGTGTGCGCGCGTGTGCGTGTGCGCGCGTGTGCGTGTGCGCGCGTGTGCGTGTGCGCGCGTGTGCGTGTGCGCGCGTGCGCGTGTGCGCGCGTGTGCGCGCGTGTGCGTGTGCGCGCGTGTGCGTGTACGCGCGTGTGCGTGTGCGCGCGTGTGCGTGTGCGCGTGTGCGCGCGTGTGCGTGTGCGCGTGTGCGCGCGTGCGCGCGTGTGCGTGTGCGCGCGTGTGCGTGTGCGCGCGTGTGCGTGTGCGCGCGTGTGCGTGTGCGCGCGTGTGCGTGTACGCGCGTGTGCGTGTACGCGCGTGTGTGTGTGTGCGCGCGTGTGTGTGTGTGTGGCGAGTACGATTCTGCCTGCCTGCGGACCGCGCAAAAGCTGACGCCGACCAATGTAGTGCGTGAGGCACGTCGTACCTCCGTAGCCCAGGACGCAGGCGACGGTCACCCAGCCGACGGTGAGGCTCCACGCGGTGTGGCTGAGCGCGACGTAGGCGGCGGACGCGACGGGCCCCAGCGACCCGTACAGCCCGTGCACCAGCGAGAAGCTCAGCGTCATGGCCAGCGCCCACCCGGACACCACCACGGCCTGCGGGCCAACGCGCGCCCATTCAGTCGCAATATGAACGAGACTATTGCAACTACGAAGTGCTCCGTTCATAACGCATACATTAATGCTGCAGCAAGACGTGCTTGTTGCACACTTTTTACCATTCCCTAACTAAAAGACTTCAATCTGTCTCGGAATCTAAACAAACTTGTCGGCCCGTCCAAGAAGGTTGGACATTTAATATCAGTACAAGGGATATAAAAGGAAGATCATAAGATTGTTTCCCTGCACAAATGTCACATTTATAGGATGTGCAATTTAGCACTAAATTTTATTTTACTTAAAGCAATTTTCTTGTATTGACGAGCTTCCGAGATTTTCGACAATATCTAATAATGAGATAATATATAAGATATTTAACATGGGACTATTAACAAAATAAAGGTGTAATACTTTCTTTTTATATTCAGATGTCCCGGGAGGAAACGTCGAAGTTTCGCAGATGCGCTCTTAGTTTTAAGGTTTTTTGTCTAATAAACTATTTGGATATTCCGAATGTCTGAGCCACAACAAGTACTCAAAAGTTGTTTTGAAAAAAGCTTTCTAGGCAAATATTTACACAATTCGACTGTTTTTTTTATTTCTGGGTTATTTTTTTTCTTTCTGAGCAAATATATTCATTTCTTTTATAAATAATAAACAATTTACATGTTTATAGAGTATTTCTATGTTTCTGGAATGCAAATTATTGCCTAGAAATCATTTTATCATACCAACTTCTAAGTGCTTATTGCGGCTCAGCCATTCGGAATATTCAAGTAGTTTATTAGACAAAAAACACTTAAAATTGTCTTAGTTTATTTTGGAAGTTTCGAAGTTTCTTCCCCGGACACGGTATAGAATTTAAATTAACCAATAACTACATCAATGGAACAATAAATGTGCGTTACATCATTTCTCACTAAAAAGTTCTGTAATTTCCAGGTAGCACTAATGGTAAGGTAATTTTAAAGTCTTCACTTACCTTGTGCAACTGCATTTTAAGACCCGTTCGGTGAAGAAGAAGGCCTACGGCCATCCCGACTGCGTAGGGACCCAGTCGCATCCATGGCTTGTCGTAAAGGGCATCAAATAGACCCAAAGGTTCTTCCACCCTGTTCAAAAAGCGCATTTATTTTCCTTTGGCCCTTGGAAACGTGTGAACTGAGAAAGATTCGGTCATTGATGGAACTAACAGTTTGAACTTTTTTGCTAGAATAATATGAACGAAACGAAAATCACCACTAGCAAAACAAAATTGTTTATAATCCGGAAATCTTGAAAGATGCAATAATATTGCAAAATAAGAAATATTAACCATTTTTCTATAAAATGGTGAATTCTGATCATTTAAGGATTTTTGGTAAACATACGAAACTAATATCACAATAAAATAAATTTGCATAAGTAGTATTGCTTTTTTAACTCAATAAACACAGATTTAGATGGGGAAAAATACTCGGGACACAAATGTCATTGTGCATAATTTTCCTTTTTGATATTATTTCCGGAGATATTTTTAATATAAGGTTTTTAATTACGACTTTTTCGTAATTGAGTATCAGCTTAAATTAAATTATTATATTAAAAGAATGCAAATTTGAAACATTTTAATGAAAGTATAGGGAAAATTGAAAAGATATGTCCCATGTTACAAAGACATTAATTTCTTATAATAAGATTCTTTGAAATATTTGTGGTGAATACCAGAGTATAAAAATATTAAGAGACGTCATTAGAGAAAATAATAGAATACAAATTGCTTACTCGTTAATAATAATAATAATAATAATAATAATAATAATAATAATAATAATAATAATAATAATAGTGAAAGAAAAAGTGAACTTCTTTCCTTTCTTAAAATTATTTAACTGGGCATCTGTGGCCATTTCTAAACACACGCCGTTAATTATATTGAAATGATAAAACAAACTTACCTATTGAATTATTTGTGTACATACCTGGGAGTGTGATCGGTGTTGATAACTATTACAGCTGTTGTTATCAGTGAGCTGATAACTAATATCACTAAAGTTACCACTGCTGTCTTGGGATATCTGTGATAGCACATTTAAACATATATAATAAGAAACCGATAAATTCATTTTTGCAATTCCAAATCTCGAGAATATTAACTTTTCACAGAACGTAATTTTCTTAATATACATAATAAGCTAAAAGACGAAATATAAAGGAATAGAAATATCGTTTCCTGACCTCTTGGACAACAGAAGTAGTATCAAAGCTAGAGTATAAAACTGCGTGTCGTTTGCAAGGTACCAACTCCAGATCATGCACTGAAATAAAAAGTTAATTATTATTGAAGTATTTTATCACTTATTTCACATTTGTGTTGAGTAATTCATTCTAAATTTCAGGTAAATATTGAAAGATACGTGCGTTATCAAGTCGAAGATATGATCATTGAAAGGAAATTGCCGTGATACATGACATTATAACTGACATTTAGTTCATTTCATGTACGTGTTCAATTTAGAGTATTTTTACTTTGAATTGCAATATACTTTAGTGTACAGTTATTTTCGTTCTACTTACCATACTGTCAACAGGAAAGAGGGTGTTAATGTACAATAAATTGCGCCACCAGTAACGCGGGCAGTTGACATGATCTGCCACAGGATTAGGAAAGACAGAGTTGTGTGAAAACCATTGACTCGTTAAGTACGCCATTAGCATCACAAAAAAGTATGGTGGAGTCAACCTATGAAGAAATAAGTTAATTAGAATTACAATATATGACATTACATTCACTTTTTAATAAACTGTATTTCAATCCTTAGTTTAATCTACTTTCTGTGCATTTCACAGCAGTTAAATGCGTAGTGAGACTACAACGTTGGTGAGCTTTTGAAAATGATACACGATATTATACGTTATAATGTTATGTCATTTGCCCTAATTTTTCTTTCTTCATTGCGCAACCTGCGTAAAGTTAACATTCCGAAAAACTTTATTCTTGAAAACTAACATAAGCAAACAATACCTTTCGCGTTAAAAAAGTGTTATTAATGTTAAATAATAAATAGGGTATTGTTATAGCAGTAATAAATGGGCAATTACATGTTAATAAACTATTATAATTTTTATCGTCGACCACCTTGTTTAATAAAAATACAAGTACACATATGATTTTGTTGGTGTTACCTCTTGTTTCCATCGACAGTTCACCGATTAAGATAAAGTAATGGTTGAAATACAGACTTTTTGACAGGCTTTTACCGCTTATAGTTTTGCGTTTTAATTTACGTTATATCTTTTCTTTTCTCTCTTGGTATTTTTGAATTAAATGTATAACTATTAATTTATTTATATATATATATATATATATAATATTTTAAATTATTTAATTAAATATATAAGATGTTCTAATTGGTCCACTAAAATGGTGTCCCCGGGTCGGACTGCTGCCTCCTCAACTACGCCTGTGACTTGTAAATACGTGAGAGTGGCGGGTTTGTATCTTGCCAAGAATGAGTCGCTGCTGGCCAAAGTATTTATAGTAAGTCCTTTTGAGAGGAGGGCGTAGTGACAGCCGGCGGCGTGAGTGTGTGTACTGCCTTCGAGGCAGCGGGGGGCGCCGGCGCCGCGGAAACGGAAGCCCCTCCGCGGCCCGGACACCTCGTGCGCGCGCGCGAAAGCTGATTTCCGAAGGAGAAACGCCGGAAACGGCCGAACGGAGATGGAGCACCGAGACCCCCCCCCCTACACACACACACACACGCCCGCCGCATCGATCTCCCACCTGCTGGCAGCAGCCGCACGCAGAGGCCTTGCACACGTCGGAAGTGCGGAAGACGCATCGATATTTCGTGCCGCGTGCGGATGCAGCTTCCATTTCTTACACGTACACTTCTTCGTGCCAACAGCGGAAAGGGAGAGAGAAGGGGAGGGTATGGCACTGTGTTAACCTAAAATGTCAAATAATTCGTTAATCTGGAGTTCAGGTTGGCCATTTTCTTGTACGTGCTCCCTATTGATGGCTGACCATGCGAATACCGTTTTGAAAGATGTTTTGAATAAACTAGAGCGAGGAACACGTACGTACAAATGTGTTATGGAATATTGAGGGAATATCTCTGAAATTTTGTTTGATAATGGATATTTCGAAATATTTTTAATCGATAGAAATGATTAGTTGAAGGATCATGCTAAACCACATCTATGCAATGGTTTGAATTGAAGTACAATATAGAGTACTGTAGAATTTTGAGTTGACGGCAGCTCTACACAAGCGCTCCTATGGTATATTTAAGATCATTAAGATAGCAGACACAAATAAATTTTCCAAGTGATATTGCTATTGGTAATTATATTTGTGGTACTTGTCCTTTGTTGTGTTTAGTATATCTCACCCCGCTCTCCCTCTTCCTTCCACTCACACCCTCTCTCTTTCTCTCCATCTCCCTCTGTCTACCCTGGTGATCCATATATTTTCGTAAATAATTAAATTTACACTAAAACACTACGAAACATACTAGATAGAAAAACCATTGATGCATTATAGAACATTATTACTAGTAGTTGAGGTACAGGAATTGTGAAAAACAACGCCCGTAAATCTTGACGAACAATGTAATTTTGCGCATGTATAAAAACTGATTAACATATAATGTGCATTTTTTTGTTTATTGATAAAACACGTTTGCGTTTAAGTGATCTTTCAAGACTATTTCTTTGCACTTTTGAACTATGAGAGTATGTACATTGAGACGTGAAGCATTTGCAACTAAAATGAGCTGCTCGCAACTTGGTGTGCATCCCACTCGAGTGGCGCCTGAGCCTGAGCTCGGACGTTAGTTTAGTTTCGCGCGTGTCCAATTCGTTAACTCAGTGTTTCTTCTCGGAAGTGAGACGCCGCCTGGCGGGCAGCCAACTCACCTGAGCACGCGGTAGGAGAAGGCGCCGACGAACTGCACCGCGCTGTCCAGCAGGCCTGCTTTCTTCTTATTTTTGCTTTGGTTATCCTCTTTGGAAGTCAGTTTGAAAAAGATATGCGACACCAGAAGCCCACTGTAAAAAAAAAATAGAATCAACGTGAGGTTTTTCATTTTACATTATTTTTATTTTGGCTGCAATATTAAAAGGCGATTTTGATACGTTTTGAAAGGCACTCATAAATTTGCCACATCTTCTACCGAGCTTTGAAATTCACGCAATTACAAATTTCTTGTATTGTTCTCACAACGCTGAGTGCAGCCTAAGTGAGCGCAGAGGCAGCCAAAAGGTAAACTCGTCACATGGCTGGGGACCCATAACGCGTTCTCTTGTCAGAAGGGCGGCAGTGCGATAGCAATGGGTGAAGTTGCGCACCTCGCCACGCTTCATTCCGAGATGAGTTTAATACCGGTCAAGAGCGCAATGACAAATATTCCAGGTGCGTAACTCCGTTAAATGAGGTTTCCCACCATACTGAACGACGTGTCCTAGAAATTAGTAGAATTCATTCTGAGTCATTCTGTATAATGCATATTTGTCTTGTTTTGGAATCCTTTTTTTAATAAGGAATTTCGTTCAAATCATTATAAAAATACAATTTAAATGTTCATTTAAGGTGGCACATTTTATAAAAAAAAATGTTTCAATTATCTACATTTTTCTGTTTATTAATTGGCGATTACTAAATTACCGTAGAGCCTGATTAGAGAAATTAAATAAAATATATTTGACGTTTGAAAAAGCTTTCAACATAATAAACTTATGTCATAGAAGTTTAAGAAATACAAAATAAAAATACCCTCGAATGCGGATATTATACAAAGAAATTAAACATAATACAACGTATAGCAACTATTATAGAAAATAGTTTTATTCCTAGCTACTCGGGAGGTGGTAAAGGATGGGGACCCAAAGTCAACCGGCTCCGCAAGATTTCAAACGAGCTCTCAATCACGATTATCTTTCAGGGTAGTCTAAGACTTCCCCCAGGGGCGCCCAAAGAAAACAAGGGCAGTTGATCTACAGAAACCCATCATTTAAAACAAAAACTTCCCTCCTCCTTCAATTCATAAACATAATTTCTCCATGCATCAGAAATAACTTATGGGTTAAATTTGGATCAGAGCTGAATATATACTTTTATTTCTTTTGAATGAAAAAAGGTCATTATCCCAATTAAGTGAAAACCTGTAGCACGTTTCCCCCTGCCCCCCCTTTCTGGTCGCTCCTAGGCGTCACAATCGACACCGTATGTCACACACTTAGCTCTTTATAAACATTTAATTTTGCTTACTCTTTGGATGAATGGCATTACACATTTATATTCTCCCAGCTTTATCATTTCTTGAAATGCATCCCCAAGCATGAAATGTTGGCCGCGACCGTGCGCGCACTAAACTCCTACCACCTGTTGCCCATTTTGCACTCCATCACGCCGCCACGTCTACTTTCATCTTATCCACCACGCCGGAAAGGGTATTGCATTGTATTGTTTCAAAATTTGTATGAATAGAATACATATCTGATTTAAGTTCTGTAATTTCTTCCCTTTTGCATGTCAAAATATCTACTGTACTTCGTCAGTCAAGTCAAAATTTAAGATCAAATACGCGTATCACGATGGATCAATTTATTTTTCTGAGAAATTATATTCGTGGTGTCAGAGTAAATCGTCAGATTAAAACCATTTATTGCCAAATCTTATGTTTACTGGTTTATTCTGAATGTCATCCTTTTGTCATTCTCGTTCAAATCGCTCATCGAATTTATCGTTTAAGTTGAAAAAACGGAAAGATATTTATCGCATATTTTTATCATTGACGGATCATTTTCTGATTATCATGTTTGTCCGTTACAGACAAATAACTGAGTTACTATTGATTTTACGTTTATCCAGTATTGTTAAAATACGGTGCTGCCTTCTCTACTAGAAAGTTTAGAAATATTAGTTATTGATTTTGAAAAATACTCGTAGTTCGTATCCATGGCGAATCTCGCTATGGTCACCTAGTAGATATTCTACCAACGAGATATTGACGATAAAGAGTGGAAAATGAGTTGTGCCAGAACATTTATTTTTAGAGAATATTCCCCCCGGTCAGGATTTCTTATACAGTGCTCTAGTTAACTACCCAACAGCAGCGACAATCCAACCCGCGAATGGCTCTCAGTGGCGCCCCTAGCGGTCAGCTGCCGCACGCTCTCACCTGATGAAGAAGAAGGTGTCGACGGAGAAAGCGCCGTTGCCGATGGACTGGAACAGGAAGTCCTTCTCCACCACGCGGCGGAAGCCCTTGTTGTCTGCGACAAGCCGCCGAAGCACGCGCTCTGTGAGCTGGACGGGGACCGCGCGCGCGCTCGCGCTCACGCTCACGCAACCGCCCGCGGTCCACCGCCCACCTGCTGCCACCCACGGTCCACCCACGGTCCACTGCCATCCGTTATCCGCCTCGCCGGCAGGAGAAACCAGAACTCTCGCTTTCGACCGCGCCCGCACGCCACACTGCCCGTCCGTCACCCCGTCCCGCTGCCCACCACACCGCCAGCCCATCACTCTGCCCACCCGCCCAATCACTCTCGCTTTCGACCTCGCCCGTTCGCCACACTGCCCGTTCGTCACCCCGTCCCGCTGCACACCTCACCTGCCCACAGCCCCACGTGCTGCCCGCCCATAACTCTGCCCTCCCATCACTCTGCCCTCCCATCACTCTGCCCTCCCATCACTCTGCCCACCCATCACACTTCCCACCCGCCCAAACACTCTCGCTTTCGACCTTACCCATTCGTCACCCCGTCCCACTGTTCATCACATCGCCAGCCCCTCGTGCTGCCCGCCCGTCACTGTGCACACCCTCCGCACACACACACACACACACACACACATCGCCCAAACACACTCGCTTTCGACTCCGCCCGTTCGCCCCGTGGAACACTCGCCCTCCAGGCCGCATCTACTAACCACCGCCCACAAACCGTCCGTAAACCCCCCTCCAAACATCCATTCACCAACTCAAACACCATTCAGCCAGGTAACCCGAACGCCCGTCCGTCCTCTCGCCCACCAATCTCGAATCGTCAAATACGTATGCAAATCCGTTTAAGAACTTTTTTCTTTGTTTATGCGCACTCTGTCACTCCTTTGCCAACGCACTGCTGCCACTTCGCTGACATTACTTCTAAACCCACGCCCTTTTCCTCACTCCCACAATCCCACGGCCTCAGCACCTTTTATCAATCGTGCCTCACTTATTGAGTAATATACAAAAATTCGACACTATTTGCATCAAAACGTAATTAATAATTCAAGAGTAATAATTACTATAACATTTTGTTTCAGTCATTGCGTTTCCCCATATTCTGCTTTCATATTTTAGGGTAGTTAGTTGGATGGAATCACTTCAACATTATTCAATCCCATAAATCATCTTATTTTAGGATTCATAATCTTCGCTTCATAATCTAGTATTTCAAAGAGTGTAAGGTTTATCAACCGCTGCTATATAAATTTAGTAGAATTAATGTTTGTGAATAGCAAATAAAGTAAAAATAGTGATTGGAAAGTCGCGTTGGGACAACAGCTAATAAGATTCATAGCACACAAACATTCTTGAGACGGCGACAGGAGATTCTTAACAACATGAACGATGCATCATTTTCCAAGGACGAAGATAGCGTACATACAAAAAAGCAGAAAAAAGTTCATATAAAAATAAAACGCCCACAGTGATTATCTGCACCTTTCCGTCACCGGGAGATAGGAAGCATTCGAACCTAACTAGTAAGGCAAGACCTGGACACAAGCGAAGGATTCACAGACTCAATTGTCATTTTTTAAATTTTGCATTCATAATTGCCAATGTTCGTTATTATTTGTGACTATTATTTGTGTGTTAATTTTGAAATGTTTTGTTTGTCAGAAATAAAAAAGTGAATGTATTTCAACCATGGGAATATTGTTTCCAAATGTTTCAAAACCGGGAAAAATTTAAATGATTGGTGCGATTCCAAATTACTCCAAAGTTAACCCATTTGTTGTCTTTACAAAATGTAGTTAAGTGTATTCCTAGGCGTGTGAGTGAAAGAAACACATAAAGCATGTGTTGTCTGGACTATTCGGGACGAGCCGCGTCACTGACATGGTGGTTAACGTTTCAGTCAACGCATTATGACCTTCCTCAGGGCGTACTGGAAGCCTACTCAACCAACAGATAAAATCAGATTATATCCCTTCTTGACAAATATTTGGGATGGAAGGCCGTGAGACAATTTTGTATACTGCAAAAGTGTTAGTTTTATTTTATAGTCTAAGGTTCCTGTTCATTGCATTTCAGAATCTATTGACTAATTTCGGATGAGCACTGAAATTGGAAGGAAAATATGCTGCTTTCAACCAAATGAGAAATGTAAATGGTTAGATATCAAGGAGCTCGAAAAAAAATAGTGAAACAGTTTAGAATTAGTCCTGAAAATGCAAATATTTGATGGTGTTTTCCACCTATTCTCATTCTGCAAATACCAACTGATTTATCATCATACTCAGCCGTCACCTACACAAGAGCTAACGTCAAGTGCCACCTAAGCTTCGTGGAACAGGTCGGTCGTCATTAAGAATTTGTTACTTACGAATTGCGTTGAGAAACAGTAAATTATAACAATTCTTGGCGTGTAAAGAACTGTTGTACCCTATGCCACAGTGAAGAGTATTTTAGATAAACTATTTAATTTATTGATGTGTTATATTGAGAGTATTAGATCTGTTGTTCTTGAGGAGTGTGCGTGATAGTTTTTGGAATATCATTTTGTGTTCTGTTCAGCATAATTTTTGCTGTTGCAGACCACTAGTATGATTTAATGTTAGTGACGAAATAATCTGACTACCGCATCAAAGAAACAATTAAACTCTCATGAAAAAATAATGAGTTAGAATTGTGGGATAAAACAACTATTATTCAGAAAAGTAGCAAACAAATTTGCATTGTTTTACTAAATAGAACTTTGTCTCACATAACGTGGACTTCTTCTATAAAGAAAATTATTGCTCCAGAAAAAATAAGTCTTGAAAACTGAATTGAAGCGAAATATTGCAAATTCAAAATTTAAATTACCAGTATTCCAGGATGTAAATGCATATGTCGTATTACACATTATTCAAAGTTTATCATTCTCCGACTGCTGGTAATGAACTGATTTAATAATACTGTATTTAATTATACTAATACTGTGTTAAATTGCCCGTTCATATAATTTTCCAAACGGCTAGAATGGTATTAAATAAATTTTAAATTATTATTTTATATTCTAGATTTGCAGCAATTACTAAGCGCTAATAATTCAGCTTTCAATATTTTCTCTTGGGAGGTAATTACACTGCTCCTAATCGAGGTTGGCAAAGAATAGAAAATTTATCTACCAAGTTTTCATGTGGTATAAAGTGAAGGCTTGAGATAAAATACTCATGGGATCTAGTTTCTCTCGGTATCTTAAATTTCACAAATGGCAACTCAGTGTTGACATTTCTTTGTGCTAATGACTCGGCAATGACCCAACATTACTAACTCCGGCCTCGAAACCCAGCGCTTACAAACAGCTTTGATGCCAATTGAATTCATTCTAGTGCTGATGCGATGATCGCTAATGTCATAAATCGCAAGGACCATATTCTTTTTTTGAGAAACAAAAAAGGAAGTTTATAATAAAGTTACATAATATCTTCTAATTCACTGAATCTCGTATAAGGTCGGGGTCCATGACGGAAGGAAAAGAAATTACGTGAACTACTTGGCAATAAGTCTTACAGAGTGCTTTCTTCCGGAACAAGACTTTCTTGTGGTTTGTGCAAAACACTTCCCGCTCTTGCAGCGCCAAGACGTTCTTTTGAAGCGCTTTTTTACGTAAGCGCCGTCTTCTCTAGGTCGCCTCAAGAAGCGTCCAACCATTAACCAAGATTCGACATCACCGGAAGCCTTAAGTGCACTTGGACTACATTGTGATTTGCAAATAACGTTGGCGTTAAAAGAAAAGAAAAAGCGATGGTGAGAGTAAATAGAAACGAGAATAATAAGTATGAGGCTACTCGCCATACTACATACTTACGTAGTAAGGGAAAAGTATGGTAATGTTGGGGCAGAAATCTGTGAATTTTCGACAAAAAAACTTGCATTTTACACAAAAATATCTGTTCGTCATCTAGATCACTTTCCCTTACAGAATCGAAACCCTATGAAGAAAGCCATAATTTGTAAAATATCTTTTGACACAATTGCAGAACACACCGGAGTTCTAAACATTGAATGTGTTTCTACCCTGGAATCTGCCTTGAAGAAAATACTTCCGTGGATTTTTGGAGAAGAGTCTTGCTGCTGCTTCTTTACATTGTGCAACTGCCTGTACAAGTGCTCGGCTGACAAATGCCCTTATCTCCTACAAGTGTGTTTAAACCTTGATCGTCATTCTTCTGGTAGAATTGACTTTTGTTTTCCTGAGGTTATCCCGAGTATTTGTTTCCTCTAGATGGTGTGTTTTCTGCTTAATGATATTTAACTTTTATACTCTTTCTTCTCCAACAATATCGCATAACTTTTCAAATATTCATAACGTGTTTTTAATGATTAGAGTTACGGAAGATATGAGAGATTCATACGTTTTAAGCCGAACATTTGAAAATCAACAGTAATATTTGGAACAAAAGAAGAAGAAAAAGTAATTCCATAAAAACACAAATCAGTCCTATTGCACTAACTGGAATTCGCAAACCATAAGTCTTTCACCTCTTCTAGGAAGCTAACCCGTTGCGCATTGGGAGTGCAAGAGACGATGCCCCGACTCGAGCTTTGGACAGGCAGCGGCACACGCGCCGGCCTGCTCAGCTCACTCAGCGGGGTCGCGCGCTCGCGGCGCCGAGGCGAGCCGTGCGGAGGGTGATAGGGCGCGGGCGCGCACTCGGGGAGAAATCGCGATCGTCGCGTTGCGTTGCGTTGCGTCACGTCACGCGCGGCGCGTAGGGCGTGGGCGGCGGGGGCGGCCGCGGGGCGGAACAAGGCGATAGGCGAAGAGGGACCACAACGCTGCGCTTCGCCTCCCGACGACGCTTCCGGATTCTTGCGAGGGGCTCAACGAGGTTTTGCACTTAATTTGTCCCCACCATTGAAATCGACGCTATTACCAAACAACACATTTTGAATTTTAAAAAGCTACGCGGTGTAGATTCTACCATGCAGGGTTATTTCAAAAATGTTATGTAAAATTAAACTATACCCTTCACATTTATATTACTTCTTAATTAGTATAATCCATATTACTACGGATATGTGTAATCTTCCTACTATTCAATTACAATGGCTTGTAATAAACAACATTTAACAAGTGTTAAAACCTAATTTTTAAGATGCTAAATTCAAAGCTGTATACCCCTTTTATGTGAGATTTTGTTCAGGTTGGAATGCAATATTCAATTTTATAGAAAGTGTAATTTTTGTTCTATATTTGAAGGTATGTTACACAGAAGGATATAAAAACTTCAATTTTAGATATTGACAATTGCAGAGTGCACATACATGAGAAAAAACATGTTTCCCTCTTCTGTCCAAATGACGAGTCCATACGGATGAGTCTTTAAACAATAGCCCGTCTAAATTAGAAGTCAGGACACGGAACGCAACTTGGCGTTGAAAACATTACTTTTCATATTAAAGACGAACAATATGAAACTTTTGTGAACAATATGATCGAAATGTTGAAATCTCTATGGAGGAAGTGGAAGCTTTTTTAAAAGCATCATTTCATGAGATATAATTTCCAGAAAAACTTACGTGTCCCAAATTTTCAATATGGAAAAAGATTTCTCACGTCATTAAGGAAAAAAAATGACGCACCAATTTACTTTAAATGTCACTGTGAGGACCTGTTGCGGGAGTTTGATAAGAGATATTTGTCACGAAAACTAGTGTAAGTGGTAAAATGAAATACATATTAATAAGATTCTCTTTTCAAATGGTGTCATTGCAGTTTATTATGTAATGAATTCTTTAGAAGTAGTTTATAAGATTTGTTTGTACGCTTCCCTGCGGATAAAAGATGCAGACGAATGCCGGAGTAGTGCCCTAGCAAACGGACCACGGAACGCGAGCAATATTTCTTTCCTCTCCTTTGTTCTATTCTCTCACCTTACCCACTCACTAACACGCAGTTCACTAGCACACATGTCGGCAGACCAGTCGTGAGTTTGGAGCGGTGCTGGTTACCTGAGAAGGGGAAGGCGAACATGCAGGTGTGGCCGGCGATGACCCAGACGAGGCTGAAGACGCGCAGCCCGTGCAGGCAGGCCAGCGAGTCCTCCGTACGCGTGTCGCAGATCTTGCGCAGGTTGGCGCGCAGCGAGAAGCACAGCAGCATGCGCGTGCCCAGCCCTGCGCACGACACACGGCACATGGCACATGGCACTCAGAGGGAAAACGCATGCCATGCATGCAGTTTATTGTTGTGAGTAGGGATGGGAACACAAACCGATTGAGTGTTATGTGATTCACGAGATCTTCCTTTTTCCCAGCATTCGTCGTATTGTGTGGTTTCAGGTGTAGGGTTCTTAAGGCCTCCTCTAGCTTATGTTAGTAACGACGGCTTGGGATTTGACTTTCCTACTGTGCCTCGGTCCGGATTGGGAGTTATGAAATGTCGGTGAAGGTTTTATTCTATCCAACTAGTTACTTGATATAAAAAGTATAATTTCTCTAAATCTGAACTTAGTGCCTACGTTTTGATGTCTCGTATACTCAGTTCAGTCGTGTCATCAATTATTTTCACACTATCATGTCATACTAAATATCGGTTATTAATTGGTCAATCAATTACTAGTCTAGTCCGGTCCGTGGGAGGGGTGGGGACCTCGGTCCCTCATACAAAAGTCTTGGGAGGAATTGTAAACTCCCATCAAGGTGCCTAGTTTCTCAGTAAGGCTCGCATCGTTGCTGGCAAGGTCGACTCAGCGAGGTGACATGTAGTGGTCTCTATAGTCCCGGTTCGACTATCCTACTGTTTGGATCTCCATTCGTTTAAGCAGGAAACGTGAATAGAGAGACACGTGAGTGGCGTATGACTCCGTCACCAACCTGGAAAGCTGGGAAGCCTCGAGGGGAAGCAGCCCCACCCAAGTTACCAGTGAGGTTCTACATCGCGTTGTAGCTGTAACGTCATGCCCGAGGACGCGCTTTGACCTTCGGAAGGAGTGGTCGTGTCTTTGAAGCGTATGTCCGCCCCTGGGACTTGAAACCCCCCTGTCTGTACCAACGCCGTGAGCAAGACCTCACCGCCGCGCACTCACCGATGTGCAGCTCCTCGTGGGGCGGGTCGGCGCCGGCATCGCTGTTGGCGCAGGAGGGCGCGGGGCTGATCTGCACGAAGGCGCGCGTCTGGGCCCGGCAGCCGCCGCCGTCCAGCGAGGAGACGGAGCCGGCCGGCGCTGCCGCGGCGCAGCACTCGGCGTAGCGGCTGGCCCGCAGGCGCGCGCGCCGCCGCAGCAGCTCGTCCAGCACGGAGCCCGCCGCCGCCAGCAGCAGCGCCGCGCCCGCCAGCGCCCTGTTGGACCCAACGACGCGCGCATTTTGCCAGTTCAAGATAAATGAAATCGATTGTGCGGTTACACTTGATGTAGTAACAATACTAATTAAATTAGGCTGTCAAATAACAGAATTTATGCAAAGGACTGAAGGGTTAAAAAGCGTCAAGGATCCAATTTAAAGATCGACTAATATCTCAAATGTTTAAATATACTCAACCATCTCTTTAAGTGGTTTACAGTCGGACAAAATATTAGACGCTTATGCTCAAACTAATAATAATAATAATAATAATAGTAATAATAATTAATATATTAAATTAGAAAGACGAAAATCAAAATTAAAATGTTTATGAAAGAGTAAAAAGCACGATGTGAACACAAAGAACAGGAAAACATATGGCAAAAAAAAAAGACAAGAATGGAAGATAAAATAAAGAATGTAATTTCATGTTAAGTTAAACAAACTAAAAAATGATAAAAATAATAGTAATAATAAATAATCCTGTTGAGCTGTTTTTAATAATGTAAGAAAAAACTGAAACAGATTACAACTCTGGAAATTAAAACTACATAGAGAAAAAATAAATTTGAATAACTATAAATCAAGAATCCTGAAGAAAATTTGAAGTGAATTGAAACCCCATAATGCGACGAAAAGTACTCGACTTGTGTAATAATGCATTCTTTGTTAACCGAGGTTTCAAGAGCAGCAGAGCACGAACCTGTTTACTTGGAGAGTCGGAAGTTCGTGTCCCTCTTCGGGATGGGTATTGTGTCTATGGCTTGTGTATTCATCTGCTGAACTTACCCTTTCATACTTCATCTTTAGATTTCGCAACGTCTTATAATCGAGGTTACTGTGATGGAGATCGCTGTAGCAATCTTTATTCATGAGAAGCACAGTGCGTCCTCACCAAGAATGCACAGAAAAATTTTAAAAAATAATTCGCCCAACCTTGAAAGTAGACTTGTAATTACAGCATTGATGTAATAATTCATCTAGAATATTTGGATATTTATATTTCAAAAACAATTGCAACTTATTTTTTATCACGAATTATTCGAAGGTAGAACGTTTTGCACTTTGTGAAGGTTCTGATCGTGTCGCCATAGTCATACTAACCACTTTTTCGTCTCCTTCTCTCGCTCTGTAATCGTTCATGGATTTTGGTCAGACCTATCGCTATCGCATTTCTGAAACGTTTATAAATTCAGAGTGGGCCACATGAGAATGGAGGATCAGCCTATCATTCTGAGTTGTAACCCCGCGCAGGAGCCCCTTCGGAACTGTAATTGAGTAGACATAAATCTGGCATCTGCCGACCGGATAGGGAGACCAGTCGGGAGCTTCGAGCTTATCCTGGTAGTAAGGTTCCCCATTGGTGTAGGATGCGTGCTTGGGAAAACCCCGCTAGCCGACGTGTAGGTAGGCGAAGAATCGCGCTATCCGGCGAGGAAAAATCACTGCCGCTTTCTATGATAAAAACACGCACTACACTCCGGGACTAATGATCTCAGCAGTTGACGCGCCCGAAAACACTAATCAATGAAGCAATAAATCAATCAATCAATAAAGAAATTTTGCTTAAGATCGTTTGTATATTGAACTGTGAGAATGTGAATTAGGGTGGCGCTTAGACATGGTTGAAAAACCTGAGGGAAGGCTTGATTGTCTAAGCAATACATCTGGTTTCACGGAGGCTTTTCAAACACGTGTCTACATCGTAAATCAGCGGAATGAAACTGAACAGACTAAACGTCGATTTATTTCTTGAGGCAGAAATAATATAGCGAATAACGAGAATTCATGAATATGAATGGGCATTGGATGCCAGCCCGCTGCCAGCCATCTCGCACGCCGCGCAAACGCGCGAAAGCGGAGGGAAAGTCCAAATAAATGTTGCTCTCGCCCCGAGGCGCGCGGGATATCAAGCGCCGCGCGCGGCAGGGCTGGGCCGGGCCGGGCCGGCCTGGCCGCGCTCGCGCTTCCCAGTCCGGAGGTCCCGGGTTGTAAACCCGCGCGGGGGCTCTCTCGCCACTGGAGCTGTTCCAAGAGGCGACACATGTTGCTCCGGCGCACCAAGGCAGGAAGAGATAGCTGCTCGAATGCATGTTCCGGGGAACTTTCCTTTTTCCCATCTCCGGTCTAGAATCAGATCTTTATGTTCCTCGTAATCTGTTTTGTACGACAGAATCATGTTTGTTTGCGATATCTCTCCCTCTTCATGTTATCTACAATGCCTCGGTGCTTATCTGGATGTGCTAGCAAAACCTTACGCTCAATTTGTATGAATATGCATGTATAAACTTGCAATTAATCAGCTTCACGGAAGATAAGCGGCACGACTTGCAGGTGCCTTACACAATTTAATATAATATATAAATGGTGGTTGAATTAATAGTTGTTAGGTTGTTAGAATATTCTCATGAGCTAGTAGTAGCTTTACGTTCAGTTTTTTGAAGAATATAGTGAAGTTGGGTTATAACCTCGAGGAAAACCTTTCATTCTCAACCCCTTCTTATGTCTTGCAATATCTCAAAAAATAAGCTCCAAACGAAGCACCTAAAAATAAGCACCACCAATATTTGAATGCACTTTAGAATGAAGCTCGAAATGTGAAAGAGGTACTGCTTTTCCCTTCTTGCCTGTTATCGAAATTATTCAAATAAAAACGTTCATAATTTTTCCTTTCTTTTTTCTTTTTCTTTATTTTTCATGTGTGTTGAAAAAATCCATAATATGAATGAGTGAAAACCAGAACGGTGTAAGTGACATTTTATAAATTCTGGGAACGGGAAAGCCGTGTTATTTTAGGCTATATTTCAGTGTCAATCTATTTTCGTAGTTTTAATGAAATACCGTGGTTGCAATGATGAAACAAGGCACCACGACTTTACAGTGATATTAAATAAACAGATCTATGAGAATTTATAAAATGTCACTTATACCGTTCTGATTTTCATTTTTTCAATGTTTGCACTGGTACTTCAAAACGGGGTTGTCGACTCTTTCAAAGAATTGTTTATCTTGGTTCCATAGGGTGTATTTGAACGGTAGTTTTCATTTTCTAAAATTCTGATAGGAATCACGAGTAAATGTTGTTTGGGCACATGCAACCCACAACATTCATTACGTGCAACAGACATTACCATCGGGCATGACTTGAATCCGATGCGAGAGTAGGCTTCCGGGCCGGAGGCAGTAACCACTTTTCTGTCCGGGAGGCGCCGTGTTCTAGGCACGGGTGCCAACGGTTCCCCCACCATTCTGCGACTTTCTTCATGGCAAAATACATTTCGTCTCCCGTCTGCTGACAGTCAAAGTCTTATTGAAACCGATGCGTCCTAGGGCCATAAATCCAGATTTTTGGATCCACTTATGTTATTTGATCACCGATCTACCAAGGGTCCATCTCGTAAATTTTATATTTTGGAAGGTGTCCTCACCCAGTAGCATGGGTTCGCAGAAACACTGGAAGTTGTGCTCTGATGTGAAGCTATTTTCACTTTTAAAAGCAATTGCAGAAGCAATTTTCCAAAGCAATTGTACTTAAGAACTAGCATCCTAAATTAGTTGTGAACCAGTATTCTACAAAATAAGATAATTTTTAACATTTTTACAATTTTGATTTACGTCCTCTGGGTTCCTCCCCTCCATTCCGTGGCATGCTTTGGTGGTATCGGTGATATTGAATTTCACCTTTGATGCCAATTGTATCATAAATACGAATTCTGAATGCTATAACTTATCATGAATGGAATGTTCAATTAATTATGTACCTCAGTCGGGTTGAGCATCGGTCTGGATAACAGAATACTCCAGGCTCGGATCTTGGCGAAATCAAATCGTAAAATAGGTAAAATTAAATTCAATAAACCCTTCATGTCGGTCTTAAAATTCTTCAACGTACAGTTAAAGGGACGTCCGTTTGAAGTTGGAATTTAGAAAAAAACAATGATTTACAGCGTGCGGAAAATTTCTATGGGTTCAGCTGAATACTTAAGTGATAATATGATGTATTACCATATTTCTATGTTTATTATTTTAACAACTTGGTTGTGGTATGTTTATAAATGTGAATTATTCCATTGAAGCAATTCCGTAGTTTTCTTGTCGGAACGCAAAAGTGGCGTGGAGACGGATGTCAAAGACAGTAGCCGCTCGACGCGGGAGCAGCCGTGCGCAGACAGAGGGCGGGCACTCACGCGAAGAGGTAGAAGGCGGGCAGCGCGACGAGCGAGAAGGCGGGGTCGGGCGCCGGGCGCAGCTGCAGGAGACGCGCGGGCGGCGGCAGCGCCAGGGCGCGCG